TAATTTTGGGCCTTAATAAGTTAGAAAGTATGTGTGAAGATAGAACTCTGAGTCCTTCAGTGAAGGAAGCACCCCTTCAAGGCTATGGTTTCCACTGCTTAATTGGAGCTGTCCTTACAAAGAAAAAATATCATGTCTCTGTGCAAAGATTTGCCATTGATGACTCTCTCCTCTGACTTTTTGTACAGCTTCCGTCGTGGATATCCAATGTTTCCCTTTGCACTGTGTTCCAAAACCAGCGTTTTTTTCTGGCCTGGCCAGTTGGGGACCAGTTTATAGTTAGGGTTCGTGCAGAGTAAACCTGTGCTTTCTTCTTCTCACTGTTGCACCTACAGCAAACTTCATCTGTTCACCTCCTGCAGCACCTCCTTAAACTGTACTGGGAAGCTATGAATAGCAAGAGCAACAAATGCGCCTTCTGCTTCTTGAGGAGTAAGGAGCAGAATGCCTTGGCATTCTTGGCCTCCTGCTCACCCCAACAAAGAGAACTTGGGGCTCATCTGTGGCCTCCAACAAGATATTGACAGAACAGATATCATGACTGACAAACAGCTGAAATACCTGTTCTATTCTCCAGAGATTTATTGCTCTTGAGTCATACCATCATTTCTCAAATCTTAAAATCTCGTGGCTTGTGCAGAGGACAGCCCAAATCTGCAGGGAGGACCTTTGTGCCATGCTCTCAAGCACTTGGCTTTACTTTGACCTTCTGCTGCAGGTGTCATCAGCTTTGCAGGTTCCTCCCTGCATCTCTGTAACTGCTTGTGAATCTCTTGCCTTGCTTGCCAGTGGCAACCTTATGGATATTGGGCAGATGCACAGCAAGGGAAAGAGGGTGTGGGGGAGGCAGAGAGGTCTCCTGATGCTTCTTTTCATGGCTTGTCTCTTCTTGCTTCCTTTGCTTCAGCTGCACCTTTCTGACACATGAGTTTTGGAGCCTGTGAATTTTCATATCCAGTTAGTTTTATTTGTGTTACTAGGTAAATCTCAGCCCTGAAGAGCTTCCAATTGCTGTCAGGTTTGTGCCAGGCAGGGTCACTACTTGCAGCTGCAGTTGCTTCTGTCTGTGTGTGTGCTTTCAGTGTTGTACTACCCAGCCCCTACTTCCACATGCATACCCTTATCCGCACATACATACACACAGTCTCTTTCGCAGAGACCTACAGATATTCTTGACAGTATTTTCTGCTTCCCCCCACACCTCTGTTTTCCTGTCAACAGTCCCCTTGCCCACCTTGGGCGTCACTGTGTGAAGAGAGCAAATAATGACGCAGCAGTAGTTTTGGCTGATGATTGATGTCAGCAGTGCCCTCATGCAACCTGGCTGCCTCTCGGTCTTCGTGCTTGAAGCACAGAGAAGAGTCCAGTCTGAATAAGCTCTGAGCGAGATGTTCACTTGTGACAGCTCACTACGTTCAGCTGGTGTGAGGGTGCTTTGAACACAAACCAGAGAGTTCAGTCCCCCTGTCCAAGAGATCTGCTCCTCTTGGTATAGTTATTAAAGTGAAGTGGTAGAAGAGTACTGAGAGAGCTTCCATGGCTTTTCCCTTCCTAACTATTTGTGGCAAAATTTATCAAATAGATAATAATGCAGTTTGATTCTGACTGTAGATGATGGCTTGACTTTCTTCTATCCTCAAACTGAGCTGAGGCAGAATGCAAGAGGATTGTAGAACTTTCAGTATGGTTGGAAATAAAGTTATATTGCACCCGTGAAGCTATGTGTCCAACCTTTGAACAAAGCAGTGTCAGCAAAGGCCAAGGGGTTAGATGGCTTTGGCTACTTTTTAACTTGTCTTTATCATGTTCTGAAGGAATCATCCTAATCTCTCTGCTTACTGGTTGTTACTATTGACCTGGCACAGTACACTTCTGATTATTTATTATTTGAAACATTTTGGGAAAATACGAACAATTTATGTCATATAGGTGGTGAGCTCTATTTTAACCTTTTAATTTGTCACTATTCTTTTCCTTTTTCTTCCAGTTTGTTGCACTAATGCTTTAAAATGTTGACCTTCTGGAGAAATGCTTCATAGCATTGCTTAGCATTCAAAGAATCTTAGATCTTGTTGGGATGGGTTTTCTTCTTTTTCCTTAGGGCACTATTTGCCTGAAAGTGACTTGTGTTTTATTTAGTTCCAAATACTTCATCTCATTCTCTCCTAGCACTAATCTTCTACTGTAAGGATGTCACTGGGACAGGCACGAGGGATGTGGTCAGAAAAATTATCTTGGTCCCAATCATATTCACATCAATAGAAACTGTTTTACCTTTACCATTGTTAGTGGAGTGAGATGGTTGTAGATGACGGCTAAATGAGGTCAGAGAACTTCCACAGCCCGTTCACTGACATCCAAAATGCGGAGGGCAGAACTTCTATGCAGAGATACTGATTTACATCTGCAGAAGGAGTACTTCCACTCTGTCTTTGGGCAGAGTAGTCACACGACAAGAGGGGATGGTTTTAAACTGAAAGAGAGTAGGTTTAGATTAGATATTAGGAAAAAGTTCTTTACTGTGACGGTGGTGAGGCATTGGAACAGGTTGCCCAGAGAAGTTGGGGATGCCCCATCCCTGGAAGTTTTCAAGGCCAGGCTAGATGGAGTTCTGACAGCCTGGTCTCATGGAAGGTGTTCCTGCCCACAGCAGGGGGTTTGGAACTAGATGATCTTTTAGATTGTTTCTAACCCAGGCCATTTATGATAAACCTTAACTTCTGAATTTCTAGGCACTGGGGCTTTTTCTCATAATAATAACGCAGTATTGTTATACCTGGATTTTTTTAAAGTAGATTTGCATATACAGCAAGTAAGAGTTGTGTCTTGTAATGTCTGAGCTCAACTTTGACTTCAGTGTGTAACTGTGAAGATTTTGTATGGATACTTCTGTCCAAAATATAAACCTCCTGGGTTGCTTGTGACTGCAAACTAGATCTGATGGTTTCAGTGGTTCCTTCCTGAGTTCCTGTAACTAATTTCTAATCTAACCTTTGTCTCTTAATGTTTTTTTTTCAGCTGGGAATTGCCCAGCATTGTGGATAGCTCTCTTCCATTTTTCTTTCTCAGCTGCATGCTAGTCTATTAGTGTGTCTGCCCATTTCTGACAGTCTTCCTTTGTGTGTGCCTGTACCATAGGGCTATGGAGATAGTAATGTCCCTATTAGAATAGAATAAAGAAGATAAAACCTCTCCTCATTTTCTTCCACTTTTCCCTTGATATTGCTTGCACACAGGCAGCAGATGTGTAGGCCCTTCTGCAACAGTGTTCAGCATCCCCTGCACGTGGAGTATCTCTTAAATGCCTTGTGTGGTACAGAGGTGGTGCAGACCCAGGTGCTGCTGGACCCATGCTGGCTTCATGCTGGTAGGGGTCTCTCCTAACGGTGACCTCTGAGCCACGCTGAGGCAAAGCATCCTAGAAGTGCTTGTTTGGATGTTTGGCATGTGCTGTTTTCACCTTCAGCTCTTATATGTGTTTCAGAAGCTCCTGCCTTCGTAACTGCAACCCCTGCTCCCTCTTAAGCCACGACTGTCAATGAGTGTTTGTTGAAGCATCTTGTGAGCCAAAATCCACTGCTGTTATGAAATCAGCAGCAGTGCTAGTTCTGCCAGTGTCAGTGATATCAGTTGTTAGCATGTGAAGAGATGACGTGTATTTTGTTTTCCCTATTCAAATACTGCTAACTGCCAAAAGCAGGATACGGGACAGTGTGGTCCAGAGTGCTGTCCTGCATGGCAAACCCCACGGCTACGCCTGCCTTCTCTTTTTGAACAATGTTATTTGTTTTACTGACATAACCCATCAATTAGTACGTTGCAACCTAGTTGCTGTGATCTGGGGAGAAGAGCAAGACATTACTGTATGGAAAGGAAGCAGTCCTCTGACAGATGTATTCCTCTTAACTCTAGTTTGGCTGTTAAATTGCAACAAGAGAGAACCAAAGGTCACCATACAAATATTTTGGGTTTTCTTTATCATATTCTCTGGATGCAATTTCAGGCTGATACTTCTTCAAATTCAGCAAGGAAGGCAATGTAAAGTGTTGTAAAAATGTCACCTCTTCATATTAATCATGTGTTGGAGTGACCAAAATCAAACAAAGCTAAACAACACGCTATGAATGTAAACACACATGCATTTTTTTGCGAAGCTGTAAGTGATAAATGGAGAAATGGGAATTATAGAAGGAATCTCTTTATAATGAATAGTTTAGAACAAGTTAGTAACAATTTGCTTTTAATTCAGTGCATCATCAGATTGTTTTTCATGGCGTCCAGTGGTCCTGGGTCTAAACAGAGCTTTTTGCCTCAGGTGAGGTTTTCATCAGTGAGAAGGTTTATGTTTCAGGGGCTGTGTTCAACAAGCTGCTTGTGTAACTAGGCAAACAGTTAATTTGACTGAAAATAATAACATTCCTTTTCATTATGCGCAAATGTAGGTGTTTCAATATAGTTACTTGGTTGCTCATTCAAGCACAGGCATGAGTTCAGGAGCTTGTGGAAATGTTTCCATTTAAACATACTTTTTCTTTCCCCCACCTTTCATGCAAACTTAGCAGTTGAGCCAAAGAGCTAAAAATCCTCAGGGGTTTAAAGGATTAAATGAGAACAATTGTTATGGTGCAGGAAGGGCTGAAAAGTCCTGAAAATACGGCAGGAGGGAGTTGCTGAAGGACCTGGCTAGTGAACTACAGCCACCTCTGTTACGGAGATAAATATAACTGGAAAGGCAGACTGGTGGGTTGATGGCAATTTGTTTGCAGGGAAATTGGAGAAAAAAAAACAACTGAGAGACCTAGTGATGACTGACCTGAAGGTTTCCACTAGGCTGTTTGGTGAAGGCAGTGGGAAGATGCTTTCTAGCTAAGGATTGCAAATTTGTTTCTCCCACCAGATAACAAGGTCAGCGCTGGTTTTCATTCCCCCTTAGCTAGACTCTTGTTCCCACTGGTTCCTATGAGTAACCTTTTCCTTCACATTTTTCCTGTTTGTCTCAGGTACTGAAAGGTTCAGGCCAGAGGTTTTCCTGTGCTCTCCATAGCCACTGCCCAGTGCTGTCCTGAGGAGAAGCAGTGTCAGGAAGGCAGGTGCTGCCCTGAGGAGAAGTGGTGGGAAGGCTGCTGCCCCTTGCCTACGGGGTGTCAGAGTGAGGCTCATCACAAGGCTTTCCTGTGCTGGCTGCCATGGAGACCCTGTCCCAGGACTCTCTGCTGGAGTGCCAGATTTGCTTCAACTACTACAGCCCCCGCCGACGGCCCAAGCTGCTGGACTGCAAACACACCTGCTGCTCGGTGTGTCTGCAACAAATGAGGACCAGCCAGAAGGACCTGCGCTGCCCGTGGTGCCGTGGGATCACCAAGCTGCCTCCGGGGTACTCTGTGTCACAGCTGCCCGATGACCCTGAGGTGATCGCCGTCATCGCGATCCCCCACACCTCGGAGCACACCCCTGTCTTCATCAAACTCCCCAGCAATGGGTGCTACATGCTGCCCTTGCCCCTCTCCAAGGAGAGGGCGCTCCTGCCAGGAGACATTGGCTGCCGCCTCCTGCCTGGCAGCCAGCAGAAGTCCCTGACGGTGGTGACGATCCCCACAGAGCAGCAGCCGCTGCAGAGCGGCCTTTCCGCCGAGGTGGGAGCAGAGGAGCCGGACCGGAGAGGTGCTGTGAAAAGCTCCACCTGGTCTGGGGTGTGCACTGTGATCCTGGTGGCCTGCGTCCTGGTCTTTCTCCTGGGCATCGTCCTCCACAACATGTCATGCATTTCCAAGCGCTTCACAGTAATCTCCTGCGGCTGAGGCGGGGAGGGGGCTGTGCTCCCCCAGGGGTTGGGTTGGGTTGGGTCGGTGGTGGTGGTGATGTGGAGCGAGACAATTCACTGCAGCTTTCTCCAGTGACTGCAGGACACTGTGCTCCGGGGCAGTGGTGTGCCGGCCCGGCTGCGGCTCCTGGCGGTGTGGTGTCAGGCCTCTTGGCAGCCCATGGAGAAAATCACGTCCTGTGTCTGGCGGCAGTGGCACTGAGGAGGACTGCATGCGTCACCATAATCATTTATCAAAGGGACTGCAACTTTACAGTGATCTTTTTTATTGTGTTATGAGATTAAAGACCTCTGTGTAGCTGGTTATACTGTGAAGTATACAGTATGGGCTCTTCTTTAAACACAGTAGATTAAAATCAAAACTGCTCCATGTAGAATTGAACAAGAACTGGCGTGCAACTGTACGAGGTGTTCGATACCAGTCCACACATGTGTTATTTTTTAGTGGGGGGAGGGAGGGAGACTTGTAAAACCAAGAAATTGTTTAGCTGGTAAGGCATTTTATATGTTTTAAACAGCACATTAATTAAATCAATTAGGGAGTTGTAAAATAGTTTTTAAAAGGAAGCATTTTACAAGCAATCATTTCTTTCCTTGGTGTCTGTTTTTTTGTCTCTCTGTTTTTCCCTACTACAGGGAAGTGGCACTTCCAGCGTCTTTTATTTGAAGGAGCTTCCAAGAAGGGAAGCAAAGTGGGCTAGCAGGAATACCTAAAAATGCAGCCAAAACAGTTCTGCCTACCTGGCCTCTTGTGAAGGATGGCTTTGCATGATAAACATTGGACATGCTGTTTTACTTCCAGTCTGGCAGACTTCCTGATGACCTGGCCTCCATAGCCGTTAGTGAAGAAATAGATCATGAGAAGTCCTAGGACTCCTGAAAGGATGTGATAGCATATTGTTCTTAGTTTTCTTTTTCTAGAGATTGGGTTTTCTTAAATATTTGTAGAGAATTTAGACCTATTTTGCCTCCCTCTTTCCCAGAAAATGCAACCGTGCACCTATTAATGGTGTGATAGAGGAGTTGCTCTAAGGAAGCTTCACCATCCCAACTGATGCAATCATCTAGTAAGACACAGTGATGAAGAGGTATCTGGGAGGAGAACCCAGACCAACCTAACCTTTTATGGGTGGGCTACCCCTCCTAAACCGCTGTGGCTGTCCTGGTGTCAGAATGTCCGGGTGAGCATAATGGAGCCTATTCCCCTATTTCAGTCTTATAAATGTTGATGTTCATAAAGACAGATTTGAAAAAAAAAAAAAAGCCACAGGAAGTGTCTCCCTGTGAGTGTCATGACACCCCAGCGATTTGCAGTTCGCTTCTTGGGAAGAGGCAAATTCCTGAATGTTCATTGTGGTAGCGCCTTGCTTTAAGCAGTCCCACTAGCTTTAGTAGTACTGCTCATAAGTAAAATAGAGCTTAGTGTGAATTTGGGTATTTGGCAAGTCTAAATGCTTAAATTTGTGTGAGGTTTAGGGATTGGATCAAGGGGCACATAACAGACCTTTAAGAAGACACTGCTGATTTGCGCTGCTGCTTTTTGCAAGTACAAAGCATAACCTTTGAAGTGTGTCCTCTTGTCATCTACCTACTGCTGTTTCTAATATTTAGAGATTGCTCAAGGCCATATTATAACACAGTTTTGACTATGCAGTGCCCGAGTTTGCCCCATAGACGTCCTTGGGTTTCTGGTTATGTCACAAAATCTAGTTGCTGGTTCACAATAAACATTCTCAGCTAAGACTTCTGTCAGGAACATACCTCTAACTATATGCTGGATTTCTTTCCTTCTCTGTTCCTAAAACACCATTTGCTTCCTTGATTCCTGTTAACTGATGAATAGAATATACGGTGCTTAGTTGTTATGGTGTGTGTTTGGTCATGTATGGAGAGGAACCATTGTGCTGATTTTTATCTACTGTCATATGTATGCATAGCACAGCAAAAAAAAAAAAAAATTCTTCAGATAACACATTCAATGCCTTTTTTGTGCAAGGCCCAGTTGCAGTATGCCTTGAACCTGGCTTGTGAGCATTGTAATTACGTGGACACCTCTCTGCAGCATGTTTCATTTGGTTGCAGTAGGGAACAGCAGGTGTTCCTAAATGTGTCTTGTGAACGTGCAAGTCTCTTGTTGTCAGTAGGTAGCCAGATTTCTACTGATATCCATGCTACGCTGCTTATTGTGTAAAGGAAAGCCAGTTCACAAAGAAATCTTGCCTTTTGTAAGACTCTGGAGGAAGTGACCAGATACAGGACTCGACCCTCTACTGCCTTACTCTGTCGCAATTGCTGGGTGTACCAGGAGCACATGGCATAGGTGAAAGATGCTCCCAGAACAGCGCTGATGCATTTTGCACCAGCTTCTGTGTTTGGTTATGTGAGTTGTCTGTGAATGCACAAAAATGCAAGGCAGTCAAAGAGCAGGTCCTGGCGATACAGTGGTGGTAACGTTGCCTCCTTCCAGCCATACCTGCCCGACTGAAGCTCTTGAGGCCGAGGTTTGCAAAGAACGACTGTCTTGAAAACTGCCCTCTTCATCCCTATGTGGAAGGCGCAGAATGAAAGAGAAATCAGAAATTAGGTTAAAATACCACACTGCATAACACATTATACAACAGGCAGACCTGGAGTTTATCCGGTATTAATGACATAAGTATTATATTAGCAGAATACCATCCTGTACTACGTAACACAGTGCATTGTTTCGTTAATACGAACTTCCTGTACTTGTGCCTGCTGAAATGCATGTTTGACCTAATTTCTGATCCAGACATTTGCCTGCTTTCAGCCTTGTGTAAGAGCAATAAGTAAAACCTCAAGATTTTTGCCTGCGTGTATGCGCATGGTGTGTATGTTCATTTCTTTTTATAAATAGGAGTTCTGGAAAAGTTTTGTTCTGGCTTTAGAATGTGACTATCATTTTAAATTTTCAGCTGCCATACATGTTAGATCACCTAGCTTTTTTGCTGACTTGTGTAGGAGTGAACTAAATAGTTTGTTCTAATGTACAGTATTAAAATGTTTCTCAAGTATGTCAATAGTCATACTACTTTAAAAATGCAGTGCAGTTTGTCCCATTCCTTGGTTCAATACCTGGCATTAAAAAGCGATACTGCTATTTTTTTTTTTAATTATTATTATTATCTTTAAAAGACAAGCTTGTCTTTGTAATTTTTCCTCTGTGGAGAAACGTATTTGGACTTGTGTCAAAATCATCAGGTTCTGGGTTAATTTTTGTCCTCTGGTGTCCAGTAAGAAATCACTGCCCAGTTCCACCAAAAAGAAGGATGGAAAATTACTGTGACACAGTACTGTTTGAGAAACCAAAACTTATTCTGAAATGTGCACCTGCATTTTTAGAGCACATTACTCTGTATGAATGTGTATTTATTTGCTTGTTTAATGGGAAGGATGTGTGTGTTGGGGTCCAGCTTAAGTTTTTTTCCTGGATGGTCCCAATATCCATTGTTGACTTGTGCTTTGCTGGCAAACAGACTTTAGGGTTCACTCAGTGAAATTTTGTTTAGTGAATTTTAAAAATTCAAAATATGCAATTTTGGTATGCAGGATTTTTTTAGGAAATTGTGTGTTCAGTGATTGTTCATGCTTAACTAAGATGTAAAGGAGCCTGTATGTTTTGTAAACATGGAGCAGTCATGAGTCCAAAGTTTCATCTTTATTAATGAAGCTCAGTCTGAATAAAACATTAGCAAGAAAAGAATGATAGCAAGTGAATTATGGTACCTCTGTTATTTTGTCATCAAATGAAGAGCATGGAAGGGAATTTGGCAGAATTGCTCCATATTTTACGAGGGGGTGGCTGAAATTCAACACTCAGCGTTTTAAGGCAAAGTATAAAGTATGGGTTGTGGTAAATTGTAAAAGGCCATTCATGTTTTAATTATGGTGGAATATGGAATTATAGCTGATGACTACTGAGCCACACAACTTTTCTTTTTCTGTTTTAATCAAATTCCTTAAAAATTTTAAGTAAACATTTTGCTTATGGAAGTGAGGGATTGTTGTCCTTGATTTAAGCATGTATTGCACAGACTAGTATGCTGGTTTCCCCTTCTCCTGGAGACTCCCTTCCCAGTCACTTTATTGCTGGAGCCCTGGACAGCCAAATTTGTTTAATAGTGCAGATGATTTTCTGGAGTAGAGAAGGCTGATGTTGCACTGGCTTTGCTGCATTCACAACAGGGCTAAACCGTAACCAAACAATTCATGTGTGGTTTGAACTCCTCTGTAGATGTCCCAGTGTCAAAAGCTCCAGGCACCAGTCTATTGCATAAATTGAGCCAAGCTTCTGTTCCCTTGACCTTTTCACAACAATGTCAGGTAGCAGAGGATGATGCTTTCTTGCACTCAGAGTGAGGCTGTACCCACTATCCACAGCTAAACATGGAACTTGGCCTGCTGTCATGATACACTTGCGTGAGTACTGGGGGAGGCATCACATGTCAAGAGAACACCTCTCTAGTAAATGTTGGGGTTGAAATGCTTTATTGTCCCAATTGCGCAGAAAGCGTGGCTTGACGTTTGATTTTTCCAGATTTTTTTCTATGGATGGATGGAGGGGGGAGGAAGGGAGGGAAGAAAGTACATGGCAGCAAATGAATCCTAGCAGCATCTGGGAGGAAGGATCTGCTGGCCCTGAAGACAAAGGTTTTTGTGCAAGAGCTTCAGTATGACAAGATAACCAGGAAATGCTGCAATGGATTTAGAGTATTTTAGTGACCTTTCTGGTGCTGTACGCTGTTCATAGGCCTGACAGCTGGGCTTGTTGTGTTCTTTCTCTTTGTCTCTTTACCTCTTGCATGCTCGTGTCAACAAGCAAAGCTGCTTGCTTCAGCCTCAAGTTGAACAATTTTCAAGACATTTCTTAAGTTGCCCTGAGCATCTCTAATGAAAAAAAAAAAACCTTCCAAGTTCACTGAAATTTAATGCTTAATAAATGTTCAGAAAATGCATTTCCTTATGCTTAAATACATTTTCATTGTAGTTCTAAATAATTTGTATAATTTTTTGTGCTAGTGATGTTCCTGAATATCAGAGCCAATTCAAGGGAAGAAAACAGCTAGAAGAAAACATTTCTTCTCCATCCCTCAGTCCCCCTTCAGATCTACAGAAGTGTTTTCATTCTCATCCATATCACACTGAAGCACCTAAGCACAGGGATGAAATGGGAACTCAGGAGACATGCATGGAGCATCTATACTTATAAGCACAGGGATGTGTTCCTATGCTCGGGGAGGGCATACACATAGCACATGCTCACATGTCATCAAGAGAGATCAATAGGATTGTTAAAAGAGCCTCAGGCTCTTCCATCTCAGGTGCTGGGATGATGAGGTGCTGAGATAGCTTGGAAACATGAAGCCTCAGTTCTGCTGTCTGGATTTCATGTGGGATGAGTTGCCATCCCCTCTGAGCTGTCTTCTGCAAACTGACTCCTACTGCTGTTGGATGGAACTCACTGCTCCACAGTTGACATCTCCTCAGGTGAGGAGCCACACATTCCTCTCTGCTTCCAGGCTGGGATATCCACCCAAAAGGGAAGAGCCAGGTACCTAGGCTTTTAATTTATCAGAGGTTTGTAAGTCCAGATGGAGGTCTTTTGAAGCACAGCTGCATAGAGCACTCCTGAAAGCTTGAAGGTAACATACAAACTTGGCCTAACTGGTTTGAAAGAGTGACAAAAGGGTGGAGAAGAAAAGGACACCTGAAAATGAGCAAAAGATTAGACAGTAGCCTGGAAATTCAGATCTGTATGTGCAAAAACATCTACTGGGCATGTTTTGCAGTGGCCTGCATATGTCATGTCTGTCAAATTGTATCTCAGGAATGGCACTGAAACTCCAGATCTTGCTTTTCTTTCAACACCTTTGAGCTGGGAAGCAGCCTATTTCAAAAGTGCAGTTTTCTGCCTCACTTGATGGATGTGCAGAAATTTTTTAGGGTGCTGAATCATCACTGAAGCTCAGGACTTGGACAAAAACTGAACTGGAATTCAGTGGGAAGAAACCGAGGTAAAAGGGCAAAGTCTTGAATTCTTAGTGTGTGCAGGTGTGTCACATTGTTTAAAATAAACACTTCTTTTATTTGAATGTTTGTTGATTGAATGTACAAAAGCAGGTAGCTGTCTCCCAGAACAAATAATGAAGTTGACAAATTGGTAATGCCAAACAGGTAAAGACAGGACTTAGTGAACCCATTAGATCTAAAGAAGCTGAAAACAAAAGAAGTGGCTATTTGGTACAGTTACTACACTCAAAAGAATTAGTAGGATTAGGTTATGGGTGGTTAGGGGGCCATAGCTTTCTGGCTTGGTTTTCAAGATTAAGTGGAAAAAAAAAAAAGAGCTGAGAAACCTGAGTGGTTTCAGGCTGGAGGTTATTTACATTCCTATCTTGAGAATTATGAAAAGATGAGTATGTTGTCACTGCACTCACTGCTCAGTTTGGGAAGCATTGTCCTATAGTGCCTGCATGCCCTGACAGGGTCTGAATCTCTGGGATTAGTGTCTGCTTGAGAGAAATCTGAATCTGACTGGGATGTGGAAAAAAAAAAAGATATTCTGCAAGATAGTTTGAATTCAGGTTGTCATTGTAAAGTGTGTGATCTCACTTTGAAGAATTTAAGAATGGTGGTGAATCTCACAAGACTTTCAGAGCAGTTTGTCATGTGGAAGACACATGGGACTGGCCATGGGCATAAAAGGGGACTCAGTTCCCAAGTATGGCCAATTTGAATTGCCAAATTGAATTGCAAATTAATAATTTCTTGCCTAATGTTTTTGAATAATCATTGCAGATGTTTCTTGAAGATTTGCTTAAGGAATGTATTCAAATACTTGAGACATGATTCAGAAAAATATGCTAACTGAGAAAGCACTAAAGTATTAAATCTAAGCCAAAGGACTTCAGTCACAGATGATTAAATACTTTCTTGAACAGAGGTGGACTTCTCATGTAGATGTTTGTTTCTTGATACTTGGCTAGTCTCCACAATTCTTACAGAACATTCAAAATAAAAAGCTTTGCTTTGGGGAAGGCTTTATGTTGAAATTTGAAAGTATATTGTCTAGGAGAGGCTCTACACTAAGGCAGCTGTTTTCAAGCACTTGAGTCTAGAAACTTGTAACTCCAGTTACAAGGAGTTACTTTCTATAACTCCTGTTTTTAATTGCTTATTGCAACTTAACTGAGGATTATTAATTTACAGTGGGAAAAAAACCTTGCAGTTTAAACCCACACTAAGCCCCACCCTAGGAATCCAGAGCAATGAGGGTTTAAAAAATTTAGGAAAAATAAATTGAATTGTAATCACTTCTTTTCTGCTATGCTAAAATGCTGAGGGATTTGCTAAACCTACAGTTTGATAAAACTGAATCCCTCCTTAATGGTTGTATTTGCTAAACCAGCTCACTGCAATGGATACATAGCATGTTCTTTCCTTTCTGACCTCCTCGGTTTAGAGAAGACAGGATTTGGACAGTTTTTGCTTGGTTGAACAGCATGATAAGAGTTGTAAAATGTTACCAGCAAGGAGTGTGGTTTTGTGATAAACAAAGAATTGCAACACTGAATGTCTTTCGGCAGCCATCCAGGCGGAACAAGCGTGCAGCAACTCCAGCAAACCTCTGGGATCCAGAGAAATGTCAGGAGTAGTGCATAAATGAGGATATTTTTTTAATACCCTAGATACTGTCTGTGTTTGTTATTGCAGATGCTTGACATCCTTGGGTTGGGTTTCTTTCTTTTGTCCATTATAACAACAAGCCTAAAAAGCACTTTGTTCTGCTTCCTTAGGAGTGTGCCATCTCCTGTTTCATCTTCAGCCCTTTGTTTGGCCATCCTAATTCCCTGCAGATTTGGAAGGAGAAACTTACCTTTGTATGTATGAGTGACGGCAAATTTCTACTGCATTTTCAGTGATGAAAATGATAACAGTGTCTCCACAGAAATAGGAATATTTCCAGAGCTCCAGAGTCTTATTTGCAATACACCTTTATCTGCTGTTATTATCATAGGTTCTCTCCAAATCAGTATTTTCGTTTATTTTTTCTTTACTATAACACAAATATTTTTGAGAAAAGCAGTAGCAAAACAAGAGAAAACAACTCAGAGACTAGAAATTATTTGCACAATATGATTCTTATGATAGAATCATTCATTAACAGCTTTTTTTTTTTTTTTTGTTAAGGGTATCAGTGACATTAATTTTGTGATTCTACTTCCTTTGGTGAGGGAGGGACATAAGGAAGAAGATCCATATTCATGGCTCGGATTAGATCTGCTGAGTTTCAAAATGTATGTATGTGCCTCTGTTTTGTAATACCTCATGAACCTCCTAAGAGCTGAAAACTGCAATAGCACCAAAATCTTAATGAAATATCACATGCTGCCTATTAGGTTTAAAATGCCTGCTGAAATGTGCAGAGCCTGGACTTTCTGGCTGTCAAGCACACAGAGCACTATACGTGGAAGTAGTTGTGACTGTCAGTTCTCCAAGATCAAACTCGAGTCTTATGCCTCATTTAAAGCTGTTAGCAGACTAGGACTCTGAGGATCTCTGTCATATGTCCTATATGCAGTGGCAGACCTCATTTTATAGATCTGAGGCAAGCAGCCTTTGATAAAGAGACATTTATGAGTTTTGAGGGCAAATTATCCATCTTCTTAAGAGATTGTTAAATCCTTGATTTAGTTAGTGGCTCAGTTTTTGCTAAA